CAAATGTGTATTCAGTTGCAAGGAGTCAAGCAAACAAATATTGTGCATTAAATTCACTTAAAAAAAATCATCATTAATTTGAAAAATTTTCAAGGAATGTTCTATTCGAAAAGACCAGATAATAATGCAAAAGAATAATGTGACAGTTGTCGTGCCTGGTTACACTATATTGTTTCCTTTTGGTTTTACATTTCAAAAAGATAATTACCCACCGGTAATTATTCTTTTTACAAAACAAGCCACTGAAAGTCATAAAGGAAAACTCTGCAAATTCCATTTACATAAAAGCTTTTTACCATTCACAGATAATAAAATATCTGATTAATACAAAACATATTTTCTCTGGTTCTATTTCTCAACCATGGCAATAGTTTCATCTTTATGTGTATGACAAAAAAAGTGAACAACTCAAATGAGAACACTTTTTATTCAGTCCCATTTATGCCATTAAAACATTATCAGGATGGGAATCTGAACAAAGTATTGGTATCGATATGGTGAATTGTGAATTGAATTCAACAATGTTTTTCTCTTAAACCAATTATTAAAAACATTCTGTAAAATAAAAAACACGGTCGTTTATGTAATGTTGACTGATTGACAACAATTTAATGCGAAAATTATTTATATATATTTTATATAACTATTTTTGTTAACATTTGTTGTTTTTTAGTTTTTGTTCTTTATTACCAATTCTTGAGAATTAAATAAAATATCTTTCCGAACCTTGTTGGAACAAAATATCATATACAACATTTCTTTTAGACCTCTTATTATTATAGTTATATAAAGGAAAGGAGCATGTAGGTTATCGCAAACAATTTCAAACGATTCTAACTTGAATTATGAATATTTTCTGATCATCAACATGGGTGTATCTTATAGATCCATTCATTATCTTCAAGAAAAGAATATATAATGATAATTTAGTTAATCAGACCTAAGTGATATTGAAGGGGCAATGGACCAATCAACATACTTTTTCAAAAATGTCGACCTAATTTTCACCAAATATGCAACATTTTATTACAATGTTGAATGCATAATTAGAATGTGGTTTGAGATATGTTTGATTTCCTAAAAGGAAAAGTTGATTGCTCCAGGGACTTTAAAGATACTGAACTGGGATGCCCAAAATGAACTGAAACCAATGGATAGCATGAGATTTTTCATTGGAGAAATAACATGGGGAACACTTATCTTAAAGCAATAAAGTTTTTCTTTCAAGAAATATTTGATACATTAAAATAAAGAATAGTAATGCATTAAACAATGTAAAAATGCTTGCATTTTTGGTGAAAATGAGGTCAACATCTTTGAAAAGTGTGTTGATGGGTTGATTGCTAGATAAATATCTCCGAGTTTGTTTGACTTTATTATTACTGTATATAATTTTCTTTGAGATAATGAATTGATCTAAAAGATAAACCCGTCTTCATTGTCAGAAAATAGTCATAATCCAAGATATAACCTTCTGAAAATGTTGGAGATAACCTATGTGCTCCTTTTGGTTGATTTTAAAAAAAGTATTCAAAAAATTAAAACAAAACCCCCAAAATAGGTAAAAATTAAGATAAATCTTTTATCTCATTAACAAGATACTTTGTGTTTATGTCATTTTGTTCCAATGAGACAAAATGACATAAACACAAAGTATCTCGTTGATGAAATAAAAGATTTATTTTAATTTTTTATCTATTTTTAATTTTGAGGTCAGATAGATGTTTCATTTCATTTTGAACATATGATACCAAGAACAAAAGTGTTTGCTAAAACAATATAGAGAGCAATATATGTTTATTTTTCAAATTAAATTGTTACAATTTAAAAGACCATTAAATTGACGATGTGTAAAATTTTCAGAATCTTTTAATGATGGGTTTAAGAGAAATGTGTGTTAAAAAAAATTCACCATATCGATACCAATCCTTTTTTCTGATTCTCTGTACTTGCATTCAACTATTGTACCTGTTATTTCAATTTACCTTACTCCGACCACAATTGATCATTTTTTCAAAAGATTCAGATCTACATCTCTATAGTTCCTCTCTAGATACAATACTAGTGAGGCTTTTCTACAAACATTTATAAACACATACAGTGATGTAAGAAACAACATTGGTCAGTGAATAATATGATGTCTCATCATAGGAAAAACACAGAAGTTCAAACTACACATGAGGAAATCAAAAATTCGATGTAAATCATGGAGGATCACAAATATATATCTGTATTTTTACACAAGTTATAATAACTCATATAAGTTAAAATACTCAGTTATAATACAACTGAGTAGCTTGAGTTATTTACTCGATATAAAAATAGACGTGGGAATATCTTGTTTCTGGCAATACAATGGGGTTACATCATGGTCATGTGTAGCTGTAGATGGTAACATTTATAGTTACTGGAGCAAGTGAGTCACATTGCAGCCATCAAGGGAATAAAGACTATAATAATGCAAAGATACACTCTGATCCATCATATACTATGCATGCAGAAAGAGTAGAAGCTATGGCTACTAGAATGCCATCGCCCATCCTTGGTGGGTATTTCACTTCTTTCCATGAATTGAAAGAGTGATGAATCTACTAATGAAGGATGGCCATAACCCATTTGTACATATTATCATGGGCTTTCAAAAGGATAAATTTGGATGGAAAATGATAAATCTTGAAACCCCATGATATTATGTTTGTACTCATTTGTACCATACCTAAAGTGTCATTTATTAGACTGTTATCCATTAAGAAGCCAGAAAACTTCAGAAAAAACATTGATGTTTCTATCATAAAAAATGTTAATAAAATTAAAAAAATGACATATTTTTGCAACAAGGGCAATGGGCTATTGTAAAATACAATAAAATACAAAAACTACTCTTTGGAAAAAAGTTTTGCTCCACATCTAGAATTGAAGGTTTCATCTCCATTTACTGCTAACCTAGCCTATGGATTTCAGGGTGACTCACTCTGTATATCAGTCAAACAACAAAAAAGCAAAACAGTTGCTTGATTCAGCATAAAACACAATGATTCTTCAAAAATGTTCAAATCAAATAATGGATGTTTAAACAACTAAAATTCAAACTTTAACAAAATGCCAACAATTTTATGTAAAAACTACATTTTATGTTGCCCTTTTAATCTAACACTGACATCATGTACATGTATGTATATTTACTACATGTATAATTATATAAATAATAATAGCACACAGGTAACATTTGGACGGATCAAAGAAACAATAAATATCACCATCATTAAAGCAGGCAAAGTGCTTGGGAAAAATTTTAAAATATGAAGCAAATGAATTAATACTGTTCAAAATAAATATAATAGAGGTTGAAATAACCGAAATGCATACTTCAACAAAGTACTAACAATTTTGTGTAAAAATACAAGTCAAACTACATTTTCTGTTACCATAGAATCAAACAAAACTACTTGCATCAAGAAGTTGATTCATTAAGAGCTATCAAATAACTTTGTAAATTGAATCATAAAATAAAAATAAATTTGGACGGAAAATGATAAATCATATTTTGATATTTGGACGGAATTTTCAAGCTTATAACTTGATCCTAAGCAAATGAATATGAGTGTTACATTTTAATGTTTATTAGAGACTGTATTATAGGGTCTATACAGGGTGTCAAATAAGTCTGTTCTCCCTCCTTAACTTTTTTATCTTTAAATTTATCATACTTTCCCATATATCATTCTGAAGCTCATGGAAAATGCCTGAGGCCCAGGTATACAGTAAAATAAAGTTTCTTGTGTTTTACAACTATCTTGTTTTGTCACATCTTATTCACTCATTTGCATGAGTAAATAGCTAAGATAGTACATATACACTGGCATTACCAACATTAGTACACTGGGGGATTATTAAACACTTTATAACGTATGCCAAGGCCTCAGGAAAATGCTGATCACCCTCAAAAAATCAATCATAAACTCCCCCTAATAAAATTGCTACAATGTTTCTTGTAAGGTTGTAGTTGACCTTTGATTACGCCAAAACAAGTAAAATTTCCAGGTAATAGTGAATGAAAAGTGAAAAGTTGATACTGCAGTGACAATGCCAACATTGGGTGATTTCGATGTTTCTCAATATCGTTATATGGACATCACTAAAAATACTCTAAAAAATTTGGAATTTAACCAATCACTCTGAGATGTGGTGTGTGATCAGCAAATTAAATTCCCTTTAAGATGATATATACCAACCCTATGTTATCTCTAAGTAAAAAAGTTAAGGGGGAGAACTTATTTGACGCCCTGTATATGAACAATGTAATATAAGGTGAAGGCCCCCTGCCTGACCTTTACTACCATTGCCATCAATCTTTGCAGGCCCTTATTATCATTGTCAGTAAGACCTTTACCACTTCAGTCTTGCTAAAACATTTTATGGGGAGCAAACTGCCCCACCAATTTACAATACAGCAGCAAATACAATTATTGACCTGTCTAGAGGTTGATCGTAAAAATAATATCCCAAAACCGTAAGGTTTTTGGTGGAGAAATATAATTCTGATTTTCTACCAAATAAAGAGGTCTACAATTTGTTTTGTTAGTCTGAAGAAAAATAAGTGAGGTCTACTTATTGATCAGGATATGACATCATCCCAAAACTCTTTTAACTGACAATGAATTGCGCAGTCAACTGCTAAAATTGTTGACCACTCCTCCAATAATCAGAATCAAGTATTTCAACGGAGGTATTAATATTGCATGTAAAATACAGTATACAATTCAAAAGATGTATTGGATTGCATAATGTTTATACATACAAGAAATCAAGCTACAGTCAGTGCCCTTGACCTCAAGCCTCACATTTTCCAATCCTCTCTATTTTTCCCTTCATACACAAAACACTTCATCCACAAAACTCATTATTCTTATGACACTTCATTGTTCTATTAGCGTCTTTTGCTAGTTTTAAAAGCAGGAGGTCGAGTCTTCAGGTCTTTGCAGCGAGGAATGTGGCGCTCAGCCGCAGTAGGATTGAACCTGCGGGAACAGTGGGGACATTGTTCATAATCATCATTAGTGGTCACAGGAGCAGGGCCAACACTGCGAATATCACCTCCCTTGGCTTCAACCTCAGTGACCTTCTTGGCATAACGGATGGTATTGACAAACTCCTCATGTTTCTGCTTCCAGTTATTCTTCTTCATCTGAAATTACATATAAAGCTATGTAATTACATTATATAATACAACTGACTTATAATGTATGTAATTAAATTATATTCGATCGATAATGATGCATTGGCACATTCCTTGAGTCAAAGTGGTATGTCTCTAGGGATGTTAGGAATGGACAATAACATTGGACTGATGGGTGGGCTTGGCAGTTGGTGCTCTTGCGTCATCAGCAGTCAGTATGTGCATCAGACAGTGTTTCGATATAATGGAATACAACTGAGTTATTATAATTTAGTTTATTCATTTATTTCTAGAAACAACAGAAAATGACAATGACAAAATGACAATATCCCACATGCTACTACCAGCTTTTCCATGACATTTATACCAGTTAGTACTCAAAAGTTGAAACACTGTAAAAAGATCATAGCTTTGTAGTTGATTCTTAGATCAACATGCTTTACAGAATTCTCATAAATGGTAGAAACAAATGCAGAGAATCAGAAAATGTTTCAGCAATTTGATAGGTACCAATTAGCAGTTATACATATCTCCTAATGTAAATTGCATGTATATGATGATGAAGTGAGAATATAGTGGTCAGTAAAGTGTCCATAACTGACCATTAAATAGATTGTATGTACCTTTAAGAATGAGCGAACTGGGACCACTTATGCAAATGTTAATGACCAGCGGAAGTAATGAATGATTCCTCAAATATAAATCATTCTAACAGATGAGACCAGGGCTAGAGTATAATGACATACCCCTCAATCGTGGATTCTTAACATCAATTAATTTGTAAAAAGTGCATTTCGACCCCGGCATTTCAACCAGTAAAGTTTAGCATATAAATGATTGCAAATGCTGTCCACTAAATCATAGTATTATTTTTGAATGCCCATGATGAATATTTATTTAACTTTGGATGACATATTTTTGTTTGTTTTGATATCAATATTAAAGAGCTTTTTTATCTTAAATAATATATTCATTGTATGTCAAATGGCTGAAACTGTATTCAGTCCATCTTTGTCGTTTTACATTTTGAACTTTAGGGATACTGGCAGAAATATATTCTAATGGTCACAGATGCAACATATGAACAACAATGCGGAGTTTGCACTCTTAATACCCTGGATAATGTGGATGTACTTATCTATTAATCAAAGAACTAGAGATTCAACATATGCACTTGGTGCACTTATACATCCTTGAATCCTACCTTATATTCCTCATAAATCTACCCACGTGCATATTCTGGATTTTAATTTTGAAATGCATAATTGCCAAGGATTTTTGAACAATATAGATGCATGTAGACTAGAACACTTCACACCATCTGCCAGCCGTTTTCCATTATCATTCAAATATCATTGCTATTTTAAATTCTATGGGATGTATCTAAGAACTAATATGTGAAGGTCGGGTATGGGATAGATAAGGTTATCATTTCATATTTTAATAAAAAAAAGTGAATATATTTTTTGAAGGTCGGGTAAACCTATGGGACTGATAAAGTTATCATTTCATATTTTAATGACAAAACCCCATAAAAATAGACATAAAAAACATAAAATAGATTCATAATACCAAGGACATCTATCTGATAGACATCCTTGATAATACTAATTTACTAGCAAATGCCAAATGCCATCCGCTGGATGCCGCCACAAAAAAGCTGGAGACCATAACAATATGTCACCACTAGACATGACATGAAAACCAGTAAAATCCCTGGCATTACAATTGGTAAAGATGCTTTTGGTGCAAGATGTATAAGCTTAATTTCTCAGGAAATGTTTCAAGAATGTTTTTCAGAGGGCGCTTATCAAGGTGGTCATTTTTTGAATACTTCAAAAAACTACAAAAAATGCCAGGAAATAAACAGTTCATTTGAAAACAGTAGGAAGATTGATATAACCAAAGTGGTAGTGTATTCTGCTTCATCACAGGTCAGTGCAACATAAAGAAATACAAAGAGAAAACATCATAATGAAGAAAATTTTTTGCAAGGCACTGTAATATAGAATGTAATGTTCCTATATATAAGCTGCCACCAGGTGAGTATGGCAGTCTGATGATAAAATGTTCAATATCTAATTAAAATCTTAATTGGTCTGTCAAGTAAGGCCTTTTGGTCAGTAGAGAGTGACCAGCTTCAAACTTCAAAGAGTTTCAACCTTCAACGTTATCATCACATCTGTAAAATGTGTCTGTCTCATGTCATGAAATGGCTCTGATGTCATCAAATAGGTATAACACTTTAGTCCAACTAAACTAGACTAAGTTTTCACTTTTTTGAACTATACACTGTACTTTGAATTAATATTCCACCATCAAGTTTCTCCTCTTCCATATTGTTATATTTTCCCATAGAGTGTTATGTACCATTCAAATGTTTGCATGAGACCCCCACATGGGGAAGGTTGGAAATTTGACATGAAGTAAAGTTGGATTTCGACATGGTATATTGTACCAGTGTTGTATTTTGTAAAGGAATCAGTATTTTCAACCGACTATTTGACCAGCTATTATTGCTCCCAGGGTGGGGAAATTGACAGTCAAATATATTTTTTTCTTAAAACCCCCACCCCTTCCCATGTTTGAGCATATTTGTCTTTCATCAGCTCTCCAAAGCTCCCCCTCCCATCTATTCTACCTCAATAAACCTGTGTGAATACAGTTTGACTAAAGGCCCACTAAACATGTGATATCAGGAGACAATCTTGCCAAATGATGTGTCTGATTCTGGACAATAACATCAAACAATAATCTGAATGTTTTACAAATGGGAAACACATTGAGCTGATAGGGGTATGTCAGATAAATAGTACAATACAATATATTAGCTCATCCAGGGGTGACATCACTGGGTCAAGATGACATTGGATGATGTCATGTAGAATGTCACTTTAATCATGGATTAACAGACAGAAAACCATCAAATGGGATTAGTATGATATAAAAATTCCCGGCAAGTAGAGCAATACCAGGAAATCAAACACTATATAAGATACTATCACAACTAAACAGGGGTCTATTTTGGTGTGACCGTAACTTTCGATTTGTAGAAAACAATTGTTTACTGATAGATAAACAATAACTCGCGACAAAAACCCAGCATATGGTGCGAATAGGACATTGATGGTATCAGTATGAAAGTAGCATGATCATCATTGACAGATGATCATCACTGACAGATGATCATCACTGATGTATGATCATTATTGATATATATATAGACAAGCATAGGCTTAAAACATTTAATTCTACACTGAGTGTGAGAGAGCTCTCTTAATTCGATAGTCATAAATATTATTGTTATTGAACGATCATGTATCAAGGCACCCACATCTGAAACATATTTTGATGAAAGTACAAAATGAAAAATGAGTAAAAATAAAAATTGATTACATAAAACAGATGAATAATACATGTTAGCCATAATGAAGGTATCATGATGGCTTAAATGAATAAATTTCAAAAGTACATTCATTTGAAAAGCTTTTGTTTGCCAAACATAAGGGTTCCAATTGGATGCTGCAAAAATAATATTTTCATTTTGCTCCTAAGGAAGGCAATGTGGGTGCAGCAGACTTATAAATAATTTGTCAGGTTTGACATTTATCAAAAAACTCTCAAAGTGCATTAAGACATTGCCAAGCAATAACAATTTATTTTTGCAATTTCTACATTTGAAAAATCATATCATTCACCTATTATTTATATGATCTACACTAAATGAAATATTATCATTTTTTGCTACTAATGTACTGCTCTTACCTTAGTTTTAAGCAATAAATCTGTAACACTTGACAAACATCAATAATAAACATTTGCATAATGGCAAGTTTTCATTAGCAAATAGGTTAATAATTGAATGTTTTGACACTTGGTATAAAGTATGGCAACTTGTAGAAACTAAAACAATTCATACGTATTATGTTTCAAAATATGAACCATTTCTTGTCACCATCGGGCAAATAAGTAAATATTTATGGTAATGGTGTTACATGTTCCATTGAAATGAAATATGACAACCATAATTACCAATTTGTCAGAAGGTAGTACCAGACTCACCACTAGGTGGCTAAATTGGGTCAGATAATATGTCAGGCATGAGTTTGATAGTTGTATCATTTAAACTGTGCTCAGTAGAAGAAATGACTTAAACAAAATATACAATCTGGTCAAAAAGATATTACACCAATATCACGATAATATTACACTAATTGTGAACTATTCAACTTTCTATGTAAAATAATTTATAATTGATGCATCTGATTTCTTGAGGCAAATAAAGTGTTAAGCATATTCTCCAATATACTATGGAGCAAATAGGTTGCCAATCCCGATTTGGGTTTTAGAAGATGAAAAGCACCATTGCCTAATAATATGTTGCCAAAAACAAAATTGTACGAAGCAAAGAACCCATAAAATGAAAAAATATATAATTCGAACATAAATATCAATGCAATAGATGAGGTTTCATATTTAATCTCACAAAAAGCCAGGTTTAATTAGAGTAAGAAGGCTATAGAAAAATATTAAGGAGCTTAACCAGCGAGACAAAATGTTTGATCTATGTATGAGACCATCCTCAAAATAGCATCAAAGGGGTAATTGCTAAAAATTAATTGCGATAGGGGTTGGGGATTGCGGTTCTGTGCACGCCAGTAGGACGATATATCAGAATTAATGTTTCTTAAGATACTAATATATACGACTTTTATCACCCTCTGGATGTAATATTTACGGTTTACTACAAAATAAACATTTAAAATACATTGTGGTATTTTATCATATCGTATTAACTGCATGATTAGAAGTTATGAGAAATGCAAGGAATTTATACAGGGTGAACACTGTGTTTGATTTATGGAGAAATAATCCATGCCTATAATCTTTATCAGTAAGCTATACATTTTCTCCCTAAAATTTGAATGGAGTATGTGAAGCAGTATTTATCAAGATAATGTCATGTATGATACCAATGAAAGAAGAAATAACAGGTGTGCCAAAAACAACATTTGTCATCTGGACCAAAGTTGCAAAATTTTTTGAACACTGCATGTGCAAATGTTAATTCAATAATAAAAAATAATTATGAGTCTCCAATGCCCGGATACTACAAGATATGGCATGTTTAATAATCTGACCACTGGGCAATATTCTCGACTTATTCTGGTCACAGCCAGTATTGAAAATTCATAATTATTAATCACCATACATCAGAACAATGGCCGAAACATTGCTATAAAATAGAATTTGCAAGTCCAGAATGGGCCATTAGACGATATAAAAAACATACAAGAATTTTTAATTCTGACACATGGTGGTTTTCAATTTGGATAATGGCACTCCTGGAAAGTGGCATAAATCACTCATAAAAATAAAATGGTGGTCACATTTGAAATGTAAAATACAGTGGGAAAGAGTGAAATCAGCGAGGAATAAAGTATACAGGCATGTAGTTAACACTCTAAATTATACAGAAATGCAAGAGAGTTAGACACTTCATTCAGAATTACAGAGAAAATGAATGAATCAAGCATGAATAAAGCCATACTGAATAAATATATAAATAACAATCAGGAAATTAGTCTAACTACAAGCCCTTGTGAGCCCCCCCCCCTAAGTACACATCTCCATGAAGTAGATAGGGGGGGGGGGAGTCCACAGTCTTGAAGTAAGACTATCAGGAATGTATCATAACTGAGCCTCATATACTCATAAAAACGAGATCTATTACATATTTATTATTAGGCAATCAATCAAAGAGAATAAAATAATCAATTGATATCTATCTATCTATTACAGTAAATTGTTGTCCAACTTCTGGTTCAACTTTTAGATTATTTCATTTTTTCTCAAGATCTGGAAGGTGAATTTTCATTAATTATACCACAAATACTTTTGTATTCCCATAGAATTATCACATTTTTACAGAAAATCTACAATGTGCAATTTATTTTAATTGAAAAAAAATGTTCCCACTGAAAGCAATGGCATATTATAGCTAAGTTCACAGCAATGGCGCTTTGATGGGGCTTTAAAGTGCCATGCAAAGCGGCTATGCACACCGCTTTAAAGCGCTATCAAAGTGCCGTTGGTGTGAACTTAGCTTAAACAATTTTTTAGAAATAACCAAATGGTCTAATTTTTTAAGTACATAAGTATGTATCTTTCACCTCGATTTTTTTAGAAAAAATATGCGTTTTACAAAAGAGGCCAATCGACACTAAATTACTACCTAAAACCTAATTTTCTCACACAATTATTTACATATGTGCATTTAATTAAAAAATATTTCATGTTTAATGATGTTGATTTAGCCAAGGTTTCAATCTAATCTCAATTGAAATAAGTGAAATGTGATTTATACTTAAACCCATTTGCAGATTCAATTAGATTTAAAACCTAGTTTTCTGACACAATTATTTACACATGTGCATTAAATTAGATAATAATTCATCTTTTATGACATTAATTTACCCAACGTTTCAATCTAATCTGAGATCAAAATAAGTAAAACATGATTTATATTTAAACTCATTTACAGACTCAATATTACTTTGGATTTTAATTAAAATGGTTTTATTAACAATTATCTCTTTTTGTTTAGAATCAAGGCAATAAGTCAAAATGTAATGTAATCCAAGATTACCCGAGATAAATGTTTCTGTCTGGGGACTTGAATATTCCAATACCTTTCCGATAAAATTTGAGAAAATGTATTTTCCTTGCATTTCTATACAATAAGATACTTGACAACAGTTATTTTAAAGTTATCAATTAATTGCTGATTCCTCTATTCTCCACACAATTTCTCATTTAAAACCACAATTCCATGCTATTTTTCTTACATATAGACATAATTGATTTTACAGCCTATGGATACAAATAATCTTCCAGATACTCCAGGAACATTTGATATGTGAGATATGCAATATCTAAAATTATGAGTGCATACTCAAGACCAGGCGAGGCTAATAGGTGAGAAAAAGGAAAAACGGATTTTGCTGAGACCAGAGACAACTGCCATTTGTTACAGATGTTGAACGCTGCCTGCTGAATGCCAAATGCTGACCACCAAACATCATGCACAAAAAAATAAAAGTAGCAAAATTATCTTTTATAATATTACAATGGTTACATTGGTGAATGACATATAGGAAACAGGTCAATGATCTGGAGATTCATTGGGTGTTGCATTATGAAGTCACACTTGACGTATATTTGCTTCATTAGACATAAGAAATGAGAAGTCATCACATTTCAAGATGTCACACACAAAGTATCTGTATTCATACAATAAAAGAGCTGTCTGAGAATTAAGTCAGCCTTATATGCCCTTATTGGCAATTGGCACCCTACATTGTATTATTATTGCTTATCGAAAAATAATAAACGATAAATGATAAATTTTTTTTAAATGAATTCAAAGTAGTAATAATATGGAAAAATTTCGACACCTGTTTAAATCAAAAAATTGTAACAAATTGTTACAGAAACAAAATGCTAAATGTAACACACTGACATTGAAGTTACATGCCAGTCACAAAAATAATGGTGGCTTAGAATACAACGATGTCAACACTTCTTGTTGGAGACATAAAAGAACATGCCTCAAAGTCTAATAAACTTACCTTCGGTTCTGGTTTTCTCGCAGCCTCACTAAAATGTTGATTAGCTTCTGTACCTTCTAGTCTCATCTTTTTTCCATCAAACACTTTCCGCTTCTGTGCTTGTTTAGCTGCGGTCTTACATACTTTAACATGTTTCGCTAGTCTCTCATCCATGAAATTTCGTCCACAGTTGGGGCATGGAACTAAATTGAGTGCAACAGGTTCCTCGTCCGTGGCGGTGGCGTATATATCACTTGGGTCATTATGTTTAGGTTGAGGGGGTGGTGTCGGTTCTACCCTATGTGTCTTGTTTCCTTCATCATAATAATCAGTCTCCTGGGTGCGTGTCTGTCTCTTACGATGTGGCTTGGCCTTGGTGGGGAAAACATCTTTTGGTGTTTTAGTGCGTGAACTGCGACGTGGACTGTCTTCATATCGTGGGCTCGAGTCTGCATGATGGTTAGGTTGTCCAGGGGTTTCGGCAAATCTCTGTTGTTCCTGGGATAAAGTACTGAGATAATCAATTTAAAACATTTGCTATCATTATACTATCATTATACTAATTTGAGCCTCTCATTAGTTTCATATTTGGAAGACATCGTGGAACATGTTTAGGACAATACATGGGTTGTATATTTAAGCAGAAGAACATGTATTGAATACATTCACATACCTGTTCTTTTCTTCTGTGGAGCTTCCTTCGTTTTTCCTCCTCCAATTGTTGCTCCTCTAATCTCCATCTCTCCTCCTCTTCTAATCTTCTAGCCTCCTCTTCTTCCTCACATCTTGCTTCTTCTTCTTCTTGGGCTTTTCTTGCTTCTTCTTCTGCCAGTTGTCTCTCATGGTCACGTGACGCAGCCTCACGACGTCTTCGCTCAGCTTCTCTCTTGGCCTGAAAGAAATCATTGGATATTTCTATCTATAACTTTAACATGTTTTATTTTTTCTGTTTATTCTTATTTCATATTATTTCTTAAAGCTTACCCAACAAGAAATTTTGAATTTTTTCTTTTTAGTTTTCTCATGTATTTTCTTATATGCCATCTGTACATGTAATAAATTTGATTTTAGTGAGAAAATTTCAGTTTTAAATATTGAATATCTTTCTAAGATACCTTTTTTTCATGTGGACATGGCAATACTATGGGAAAGTTAACTATTAGGCTACATGAGCTGGAATGGGTTTATATTTTCCACTGAAACAAGTTTATAATTATCAAGCATTATCAAAGTACATGTCCTTCCATATAGTTTGTTGATATGATTTCCCAGGGATGTGTTATTAAAATACACTGTACTTTTTATTATATCATATCATATATCATTTTCATTATCATATGATTTGTTCATATGATTTCCCAGGAATGCATTATTGAAATATTTGTTATTATATCATATCATATATCATTTTCATTATTATATTGAATACATGACAACAGGTAAAATTAGAGATATGCTGAAACCAACTCTAAATACCATCTAAAAATTAATAGTACCTCATTATAATTACCCTTCCATTAATAACATGCGGGTTTCATATCTCACATAAAATTCATAGCTCATACATCTCTTTTATTTCGATGGTTTTTATCAATTTTATGAAGAGGGTGATTATACAGTAGATAGAGAGATTATTGATAATAATGATCCAGGCACAGGCACACAGACTTATATATAGCCCTGAATCCCATAACTGTTATGTTATTTCATGGGATCTGTTGAAAGCCCATGGTTATATCAAACAAAATATAAGTTTGCATTCCACTATACTCATATTAATACAGGGTGGTCAAAAAAATGGAAACCCTACATTTTCCTCATATTTTTGTCATTTTAGGTAATTACTCCCTGATATTTTACACATATGTACAACATTCAATTTCCCACCAGCTAACCATATTTCATGACTATCAGATTGATAGTTACAATGGTAGAGCACTTTGAACAAGATGTCCCAGTGTGGCCACCATCGTGCTATTGGCAAATCTGAACAGGTTGTCAATGATCTGACTACATTTTTCAGCAGGTATGGCCTGAATGACATGGATGATCTCCTTTTTGAGGTCTGCAGTTGTCCTGAGGTTATTCTCGTACACTCTGTTTTGGTGTATCACCACAGGTTAAAGTAGGGTAGGGACATTTTGGATAATGGGTGCAGGTTTGCCGAAAGTGCAATATTGGCCACTAGAGCATGTTGTTTAAAGTGCTGTAACATTGTGACTATCAATTTGATGGTCATTAAATATTGTAGGCCAGTAGAAAATTAAATGATGTAACAGTGTGCCAAATAACAGGGAGTAATTGTGCAAAATGACAAAGATATGAGGTAAATGGCAACAGGGTTTCCGTTTTTTTGACCACCCTGTACTATATTACCTGGATATAATCCTCTCAAAAAGCATTGTTTTGGCATAGTTCAAACCCTAGCCTTACTAGCTGATTGTCGGAATGTGAGCATTCGAAAATATATATAGAATCTGCTAAGGGAATCCGCATGCTCAGTTTGTATATAACTGTTGCAGACACACAGTATGCTTAATTTGAGGAGTTTGATGGTTAGAAATAGTTAAATTTAAAACACAAAATTTGCTTTATGAAACAAAAATATTACTTCAATGTTATCTAAACCATATGATTGGGGTTTAAACTATACCTCAACAAACCAAAAATGATCAGGAATTTATTGGGATATGTTATTTTTGTCCATAGATAAATACATATTCTTAAACATGTTCTTCAGGTTGGATTATAAAATAGTGCTTCGGTTCAGTTTTTATACAGTTGAAAAAGGATCCAATATTTTTGTGAATAAATACATAGTGAGACAGACATATTCCTGGCATTGAGAAGATACTTATCATTTACCCTGATTCAAAGTTGCATTCCATGCCTGTTTATTTTATTTCTTACTCTTTACTGTTGATTTTGTAAAACACAATTACAACCAGGATCAAGAAATCACTTTTGACCAAATCTTGTTAAGTGGGTTACAGTCATTATGTAATTTAGCCGAAGAATATATCAGGATAGGTCCGATGATGTAGAAGAACAGTAGACTAGAGTGTTTGCCTACTTTATTTGTCAGATATATATTTTGTTTTATGCATAATGGTGTATGTAAAGTCTACTTCATAACTCTAAATCTGAAAAGATATAAAATCAAGGCAATCAGATTGAGGTTCATTTATTACCAAATAGATTATTGCACGGAATACAAATCCAGCAAAAATAATATAAAATAGACCAATAATTCAGACCATCCCCATAATCTAGTGGTACATCACTGTTATTTACTTGCACTTCTGATGTATCGCCTGTAACACCTTAATGAATATCTATGAATTTTCATTTATTTTCTCAAAATTATCGCCTTGGGAGCCATTGCCTTAATCCTTTCATTAAGCCAAATACTGAGAAATCAAATAGTAAAGCCAAGCATATGACATTTATGGTTTTCTCTAAGCTTCAATGCGCCTGTCATTAAAATGAAAAATGGTGATTGGTTCAAAAATTTAATCAAAACTCGTCTCTGATATTGAATATAAAGAAATATAAATTATCAAGAATATGATGTATTTTCATGTCATCTTTGGCTTTCTTTAAACAAACGAATGCAAGGAAATGACAGTGGAATAAGGAAGTGACCAAGGAAAACAAATAAAATTTCAGCTCTGATTAAAATCGTCTAAAAGTTAAAAAATATATATTCAAAAATAATATTCAACAATATCAAGGCAGTCCATTTCTCATAATCCTTTAAAATAGAACAATTGTCCTGCAATCATCCCCCCATACTCAGCGATCTTGTCCTGCAATTATTTTACCCCCCACCCAGTGATTTTGTCCTGCAATTACTACACCCCACCATGTGATTTTGTCCTGCAATTACTACACCCCCACCAAGTGATCGTATCCTGCAATTACTACACCCCCACCAAGTGATTTTGTCCTGCAATTACTACACCCCCACCAAGTGATTTTGTCCTGCAATTACTACACCCCCACCAAGTGATCGCGTCCTGCAATTACACCACCCACAAAGTGATCATGTCCTGCAATAACACCCTCCCCCACCAAGTGCAATTACACCCCCACCTATTGATCTAACACCCTTTCCCTGCAGCTTCATACCCTTAGAAAGAGATCAAGCCAATCTACACTCTTAAAATCTGAAAAAAATCTGCAGTTAGACAATACAAAACAACAAAAGTACCAAACATCTAATATTCAAATTCCCATGAAACCTTCATTTGAGACCATTGCGATTTTATCAGTATTGAGATAGTAAAATCATAAGAAATTATCAGGAGTCAATGTGGCTAGCTGCTAAATACCCAGGCCTCAGGGTGCCTAGTTATCTGTAAATTTTAAAAGTGCAGATTGTGATTGTTCAGTGGATGAATTGATATTATACAGAGCTTAGTAAATTATACAGTAAAACTGTGTGGAAATCATTCCCCAGTGATGCATAAAAGAGAAATTAAATCTCATTCAATTATACTTTATTGGCACTATGTGATACCAAAGCAACACTAGTTAAAGGCAGTCATAAAAATGAACTAAAAAGATTCACAATGGAATAAGGACAAAAATGGTCTATCGGATATTCCTCCTCTTATCAAAAACTTTAAAATGGGAACATAAATAGAACAATAGATATCATTTTCATGGATATTAGTCACTGGATTTTATTACAAGTAGTTTGGTAGATGAAGTGAAAACCTAATTGCTTACTATGATGACATAGAGAGATGTCAATATAAGGCAAAATGACATGAAATGGTGTAAATGACCAATAGACCCTAAAATCACTAACCATATGCTGTACCCTGACCCTTGAAATCATACCCCATAGCTCCCTAAAATGACTCATTGACACTTGAACTCTGGTTCTGTATGTTAGATGATGTGTATGGAAATGTGTTTTAGAAAGCATGGGCAACATTGAAACACATAAAATAAGCCAAACCTCTATAAATAATCAAAAATATATAAAGCAAAATATACTGAATCAAATTAGTGTCAGTCCTACGATTAAGTTTTTTTTAAACTTTTTTATTCAGTTGACCAAAATAGCAGTAAGTCTATCATGTGTAATCAGATCTGTCACAATAATTAATTCATAGGATATCATTATTATCCACTTAGCAAGAAACTGTACCTCAATATCAAAAAGAATTTGTTAACACAAGTAAAATACGGTAATTGTGTACTGTCCATATTAGCCTAGAAAAGCTCAGCTACAAATAGACTACAAAATCATCAATCTGGTATCAGTCTAATTTGATTTCACAATCTTACAATGATTGATGCATGATTTCACATTTATCTGGTTTCTATGACAATGCATATATCATCGTCACTGTCAACTGGCATATTGTCCTGAAAAATTGCCATTTTTATTTGGGTTAATTACACGATTAATTCAGCATCAAACATTTGACCTTTTCTAGATTATTAAAGATAGAAATTTTGCCTGAACTATTAAATTAATTAATTTCCAAATTACGCTAAACAAATATTCCTAATGTAGCACATTCTTATAATAGATAGTCTAAATATAGCCTCTTTTAAATATAAAAAATACATAAATTACGAAATATTTCATCCACATTTCAAGATTAAAATAATTGAGTTCAGCATTTATGCAGAACGAGACAAAAAGCAGGTCCCAGATAATATCTAGTGATATTTATTATGATTACCACACTTCATTTTATGAGATGGTTCATCTAGGGATAGTCATTAAATGGTATTAGTGTAAACTAAAACAGATACTATAACAAATTAATGGAGTTTTTGTCCATCTGGCAATAATTATAAAAGCCCTATAAAGACTATGAATCAAATTGATAAGAGTGGGTATTTTCTATGTAATCACCGCAGACAAGACTATTGTCAACATCCAATATTAATACATCAAATAAAATATTTTGCCTGGATATAATACATGTAATAAATCAGTCCAGTGATGGGATAAATTTTGCAAAACACGACACTATTAATGTATGGAATTAAATGTATTGTCTCATAGTACCAAATCTACTGATTTATGGTACCAAACTTATTGATTTATGGTACCAAACTTAATGATTAGTGGTACCAAACTTATTGATTTATAGTACCAAACTTACTGATTTATAGTACCAAATTTATTGATTCATGGTACCTATTTATTATACTAAAACAAACGACCATGCATATTTTAACAAGCTATACTAACAAATGCACATGCATATATCTATTCTTAAAAAGGAAAATTTGGAGAAGGCATCTTTAGCCAATAAAAGCCATAAACTGCTTCTAAATCAATCCTGCTAAACGCTTTCTCTGACATCTGTCCTCAAAGATTTTTTGATAGATGATATTTCCAAATCTTTGTTTCCTGAGATCTAGAAGGGGAAGTAAAAGATGATATTTCCATTGACATTTAACTTCTTTAACATTTCCTTACATTTCACCATGTACTAGGACCATGGAATAGGACCATGTACTAGGACCATATAATAGGCCCATGTAATAGGACCATGTACAAGGACCATGCAATAGGACCATGTAATAGGACCATGTACTAGGACCATACAATAGGCCCATGTAATCTGACCATACAATAAGACCATTTACTAGGACCATACAATAGGACCATGTACTAGGACCATACAATAGGACCATGTACAAGGACCATACAATAGGACCATGTAATAGGACCATGTACTAGGACCATACAATAGGCCCATGTAATCTGACCATACAATAAGACCATGTACTAGGACCATACAATAGGACCATGTACTAGGACCATACAGTAGGACCATGTACTAGGACTATGTACTAGGACCATATAATAGGACCATGTACTAGGACCATACAATAGGACCATGTAATAGGACCATATAATAAGACCATGTAATAGGACCATACAATAGGACCTATAATAGGACCACAATAAGACCATGTAATAGGACCATACAATGAGACAGGACCATGTAATAGGACCATGCAATAAGACCATGTAATAGGATCTTTGGAGTCTATAGAATTCCCCAGCCTGCTACATTAATGCACGTGCATAGAAAAATCTATATGTTCATTCATTTTTTTCCATCTCTTTCTTTTGTTTGAACAAAGTTTCCAATTTCTCATTTTTACAAGATTTCGAGTCTAGTAAATGACATGCCTGTAACTATATTCCTAGATGCAACTCTTTATCAAAAAGGTCACCAAGATACTGCACTAAAAATTGGCACTGAATTAATAAAAAAAGCATGCAATATCAGTGCATTTCCACCATTATTAAATATTTCCTCTAAAGCATTATCAGCCACCAAACAGTCATTCATATCATAAACTAATTGCTGAACATACATAGCATATCATTATCATGAAATAAAACAACAGCGTGGCAAATATATTATCTTTCATAAGGCCATTGTGTTACATCCTTCCCGTCCTATAATTTTATTTTTTTGAAAAAATCAATGGCCATTTTTTTTTTACAAAAAGAGCCAATTCTCTTGAAAATGAAAATGAGCCCTAATTTTGATAATGTGACCCAAAAGGCCAACTTAACAACATTGGGGCCAAAAATCTGTATAGAGCCACACTTTCAAAATTGGGACTTTTATTCATTTATTTTCAAAAAGTTTTCCTGCACTGACAGTAAGGTGTAAACTGGAGAAATTATTCAAATTTTAACTTTTATGAATTTGCCATACTATTTGATAAATCAATTCATAAATTTTTAACAATTAACATTTACAACTAAAGCAATGCTTCTGAACCACTATATACCAGGGAATACTTACAAACTTTGTATGAGCTCCAACATTAAATGCCTGCAAAATCATACCCTTTTGTGAAATATTTTGATATATTTACTGTTTTGCTGCATTTCTGACACTCTTTTAAAGGGAACGCGAAGTTTTGTCCCTTAAACTTGATAATAAGTTAGAATAAAGATATATCTTTCAATCCAACTTAGTTTTATTGTTCTATCATTATCCTTTTAATTGTTATTGAGCCCCGGGTTTTGCATATGAACTGGACCACGGAGCTGCCATTTCAACCGTAAAGTGGTTCTTTACGACATTGTTATGACGTCATTGATGCCAGATTGATGCCTTGGCATTCCAAAAGTTTTGTGGCGCCATTTTTGAATCAAAAAATGAATGCCGAGTTATTGCCATTCCAAAACCAAAGAAATCATTTCAAAGTAACTAAAAGAATACGTATATACCACCCATAATAAAGAACGATTTCAATAGAATATTAACGCCGGCATTTTCGGAATTGCTTTTTACCTATCTAGACATGGAATGCGGGTTAGATTTATTCTTTATTTACACTTGAAACAATCTGGGATTCGTTTTTATTAGGTCTAGCGCTAAATGCGAACAGAGAATGCTAATTCTATCAGGCGAAGGCAAACTATTTGAATAAAACATAATAAAATTAATTCAACCAACCCATCTTGAATTTCCAAGAATGCAATGGTTTAAATTTGCTAGTCTCATTACAAAAGTACGTGTTCGTACTTTAATATTCATTGCATTTATGTTTATCTTTAACACAGGTATTCAAAGAAATTAAAATTTTAAAATTAAATTTTAAAACCGTATTCAATTACTATCATTGATTCTTAGCCTCACGTCACATTTTTACGGGTACCGTACGGTCTATCATTTCTGTGGTAAGCAGGATTTCTACGGTTGCTTAAGTATTTCTGCAGTCAGATAATTTAGCAGTCACATTTGCTAAGATAGCCGTACGGCGTATCTTGATTATGAGGAAAAACTACGATACCCGTACAGCTGATAAATGATGACGCACGATCAGCGTAGGGCGGCCCTACGACGTGCATAGTTTTTCTTGAAGGCATCCACAAGGGGTTCTATGGTTCGGAAAGGTCAATTGTAACCTATGAAATCCAAGCGCAGCCGCAAGTCGACCGTGAACCCGACGTACGGCCGTCGTGAGACCTACGGTTTGGCTGCTGCTTGCTGATATCTATAGTGACCACAGGAAAGAAAAAGTTATAACTCCGACTCTACGCCTGATAAAAACTGGATATGTCGTGTACGTAGACCGCAAGGTGACCTTAAGTCGACTGTAGTTTTCCTATGTTTGCAGCAGAATTTACTGACTTCAGGGAAATACGATCGACGTGTGGTCGCATTGAACAAATGTGACTGAAGCTTTTAAAGTTCCACTTATTTTCCGATATAGAAAAACAAAAGGTTGTATGCCATTAAATGGAAAATCATTATTTCGAAAATACTGTAGAACTGTACTTACCACGGATGTTATATAATTAAATTCGAGCTCGAAATCAGGAATTGTTTTTAGCAAAATATAAATATATAATAAAATAAATATTAAACTATTGGCGTACTATCAATACGGCAATTGCCTTATCGTCGTTGAAATGAAATATCATACTACAATCGACCCCATCGTCTCCCCGCATCACTGAATGTTATGCGCCTTCTCTTGTCATGATCCAAGGTGAAATACCATTGGATTTTGAAAAGCTTTTTTTGTCATATCGAATGTCGCTACGGTGATATGATGATTGAAATTGGTCGTTTAACAACTGAGAAAAATTAAACATTACGTATTATTCTTTGAAAATATGACCGTGGCATGTCCTTGTAAAGCTATTGCCAATCTTAGTATTTAGGAGATTGACATTTACATACGTATCATTTAGACGACATCGATTTTTCGTTTTTTTGTTTGCGTTTTTCATCATAATTTAAATGGCTAAACACTTTAGGGAGTTACTGTTTCATTGGATTACTACTTTTTGTTTTATTTCTTTCATTCTCCAATATGCACCTATTCATATTTGAATAGAATACTACAGATTGAAAAAATCTATCACTTATGATTAGGTAAGAAAGCAATTGCGGCAGTATGCCTATTTGCCGACGTAAACCTTAAGGTTAATAATGATGTGCCGTAAATGCTCATCAGCGCATTAATGAACATTAGCATAGATTTTGATATTTTAAATGGTATGTCGTGTATTTACATAAATATGGTAAATGCAACTATTTGTTGGATGCGTTCAGCCGATGATATAACTTACTTATTTTCACCACAAATACGCCAACACATTAGCCACATTAATCTTAGTTAAAATAAATCCCCATTGATGCACAGTAATGCATTTATATAATTATGTGTAAATGCCATTTTGTATATTTTAATGCATTTACCTCATTTATTGGTTAAATATACAAGAAAGCATTTACAGGATTTGAACAGATTTATCCTTTTTGACCCAATGTTATCATTATATAAAATAATTCTAGTGGATATTTTTCAAGTGGAATATAATGCGATGACTTCCGAGTCGCGCAGCCGATATCTCATAAGTTTAGTGATTTTTCTACCTAGCCTATACTATATCACATTGGAGAAAATAAATACAAACATTTGAAAAAATACATTGCAACAATTCAATTTCTATGAAGAATATATTGAAACAACTTTTCCAAATATATGATATGATATGGACATGAACATGCGGCAACAATGTTAAGCGGACAGAAATAGTTATAAAATATCAGTGAAATGTGTTCTATTTCTGCGATCCGAGTATGACGTGATTATATAGCGACATTTTCCAGGCATCAATTTTAAGGCATCAATGACGTCATTGATACATAACAATGGCGGCATCCGCAGCGATCCAGATATGGGTACTTTGAACTTGAATTATATGTTAGTTCAAACACGATATGTCCCATGAGTGAGCTGAAGTGATAGATGATGGTTATAAGTAGCCAGCGTGTAAATTAGAACATGAAACTTCGCATTCCCTTTAAGTGGTTCAATCTCTATGATATTAAAATATACAAATATCAAACAACTCCTCAAATATCAGTTTGAAAGTATAATTTCCAGATTGCGATTTTTGTCAAAAAATGGGAAATACCTTCAGGGGCCGATCTGAAAACAAACAAGGGCAGGCCCACATTTAAGTATAAAACCAAAAATTAGGCCCAAATTTTGAAATTTCATTTTCTTGATAATTTGGCCTGTTATAAAAAATAAGGCCAAAAGGCTGGCTTGGTAAACCCAAAAAGGCCCACTAAAATTATTTTGCGCCTAAATTTTTTTCTGCCCCCCCTCACCAGACCCGCCAATGATTCTCGGGCCAGAGAAGTCAAAAATTAGAGTAAGCTGGCATTGAGAATTATGATGGAGGCTATAGAAACTATACATGCGCTTAATGTGTCCTTCTGGGGCATTGGCAGACCATTCAAAGTTGCCTATTTCATGCCATATAACCTTTATGGGCATTTAATAAGAATGCACCAAGCATTGGTGTGAGATGATGAATTTTAATTGTTCAAGTCAGAATGCATGAATGCTCATTTGGATAATCTTTATGCTCGAGTTGCTCTTTGAAGTGGTAATAAATAATCTCACTCAGTTTATGGGTCAGTTACACTATTAAACAGTTATTGAAATTCATTGTTTGCTGAATTTGCGTGCAGATTTTACAACACTCCGAACTCATCAATAAAGTGTTCATAATAAATAAAAGAGGGCAGCATTGACTGGAGTAGAATTATAGTTTTTTGTGCTACAGTCAAACAGTTCCATCATGATTTGAGTTTCAGTACAGAGTTAAGATAAAATCCCTTAAAAGAGATAATACGGATCTAAAACCCATAATTTGCCAGAGTAATGACTCTTGTTGTTATTCCAAATAAACAAATGACAAATGGAAATATACTTCCCATTTGAAAATGATAAATGAACAGCCTACTGTACCTCAAGTGCTAAATTTTGATGAAACATAAAGTGAAACAGTCATGTTCTAGCCATAATTTTTCTAAAAAGAAAGATGACATTCCTAGCATGGTAAATATAAATGCACGTTAATTCATTCCCATAATTTCATCCCACCCTATTACAGATATGGTAACAACCTATTAAATTGCCATGGTTACTTATAATATTGCCATGATAACGTACCTCTTCTTCTTCATTGGTACTTTCCAATTTTATCTGCTCTAGTTCACGCTGCCTTTTAGATATTTCTGCCAAGATCTTTTCTTCTTGTTCTTTTAACTTCCTTGCTAGCTCTTCTTGTTCTTTCCTAGCTTTTTCTTGGCGCTTCTTCTTGGCCAACTCCTCTCTAGTTTGTCTGTCTAGCTCTTCCTGTTGCTCCTGGAGGCGTTTCAATCTCTCTGCTTGTTCCTTGTTCCTGAGGGCCACACTGCTGGTCCCTTCACTGCGTCCACTCAGTTCTGCACTAGCTGCGTCATCAATACGTCCACTGGCCACTTCCAGCACTTCATCTCCTTCAGCATCATCACCCTGAAATGGTTCAATAGGATTATCATTATATGTAATAAGTACACTACTAGCGTAGCTATATATCTCATTAGACAACCAACACAGTACTCTTTACTCTAACACTTCCCTTATGAGATGATTTCATGTTCCATTTCTTACAAATCAGGGAAGTTAGATCAACGAGAACAGTTGACAAAGTGAAATTGTCAAATGAGCTTCAGCCATAATGAACTGTCTGTAATGAACCAATAACAATGAAAAACAAGGCATTACATGAAGTGTATTTGTCTTTAATTTGGCAACCATTTTAAATTGGCAAATTTCGACGAATTAAGAAAATCGCCAAATTAAATAGTCTCCAAAATCACCAGGTATTTGACATATTTTTCTTTCAGTACATTTCCAATTGTAAGAAAGGTATTACAAGATTTATATAAATTTATATAAACAGCAAGAAACATTGAAGAACTGACAATGAATTTTGTTAGACATGAGGATGTTGGGGACATGTGAAAAACCACCAAATCAAATAGATGCCAATTGGCCCGAAATAACAAAATTGCCAAATTAAGTAGCGGCAAATTCAAGACAAATACAGTATATGCAAAATGTCACCACCTGCCATTTCTTACAGACACCAAACTCCAAACGCTCAACTCTGAACACCAACTGTCACAAAAAAGTTTGAGATCATATAAACAATATATTTCATATACAGGGGTCTCACTATAATTTCTCACATCAGGCTAAATAAATGAAAACAACAGTCAAAATTAATGGAAATCATAAGAATGATGAAAAGTAAATGAAAAGTCCCTCAAAACAACAGGCAATTTTGTGAAAACAATTGGTGAAAATTGCCTGTTGCCTGCTGTTAATGAAACCCCTGGTATAAACAAGCCATTTTTTATATTCCTGTGGAGACCTCTGGTGATTAATGATGATTGTACTTAATAAACAGCAAATACTTGCAACTGCACTGGGACCACTCTCATAATTACTCTTGGGTCAGTTTCATGAGAAAGTTGGTAAATTAAATGCATCATGAATAATTCAAACAATAGAATTTATTGGTGTTTCCCAGCATATCAATTCTCATTAGAAACTTGTCAATTTTCCCCAAACTTAGAGGAATCAGATTTCCTTCTTTGGGAGGTAAGCCTGCATGTTCGGAATTTTGCTGCATTCCTCAATTGAGTCACATGTAATTTTTCAAATAGGAATCACTCCTTCCTCACATTGTCTACATCTTTCAGTTTTGCACAAAGAGTGCACTAATGAACCCAGATGTAGACAATGTGGAGGAGTGATTGACAATTCGAACATGACTGTATTCACGCCTTCTGTAAACTGTGAACAAAGTCAATATTTCTCCAGGGGTATATTCGCGAACAATACCCCTGGTAATATGAGTAATGTGTGACGCCATAACAGCGGCCCGTAGTAATGGCGGACCATAAATGAATATTCGAAACATTTTGGTGAGTTTTCATGTTCGAATCGTAATATAGACCTCAGAGCAGGTGTCGAATACACCCCTTAGGGTTAGGCACAAAAGCTTTCGAACGCCTCACTCCCTTTGGTCATTCGGGTTACCGAAAATGTTTGTGCCTAGCCCTGCGGGGTGTATTCAACAATATTACCCCTGTTCTTCGGTTTATATTTCTTAATAAAACTTTCTCCGTCTTTCTTTCTATCTATCTTGTACATTGATAATTCATATTATATAAACAGGCAGTTTTCTTCCTGCTTTAATTTTAATCATGATATGCATCTATGAAGCTATCAGATAAAAATACTGCACAATTCCCAAAATATATCTTTGTATTAATAGGAATACTTATACAAGTGAAATCTTTGTTTAGTATCAGCGATTTCAAAATTTTCCAAATTTTCTGAAAATTGGCCGATTTTTAATTTGGTGTCAAATTAAAATTGTAGTCAAATTAAGTGTATTTATAGTACTGTATGTGTTGAAATAATGCATGTAGAACAATGTAATACCTAATATTGCTCTGGTAAGTCATATAATAAAGATCACTCTCATCAAAAGCATCACTACCTGATTCTCTCAAATAGCTACCTGAAAAATTCACTAAGTAGTGAAACAAATACCTGATAAAAAATGTTAAGCGCGAGATATTTCTGATAAGATTGTAAAGAGTTGGCTGGAACTAAAATAGATTTTGGAGTAAAATAATACCTGTGTGAAATCTAATGTAAATGGAGGTCTCTCTTTCATTTTGCTCTCTTTATGCTTTTTGAGACGTTCAGCCTTTTCCTGGTCCTGTTCTTGTTGCCATTTTTGGTAGTCAGTTAGTGTCCCTGTGTCATCGTCACTTGAATCAGGAAATACTTCTTCGCATTTAACTCTTGATTTCACTTTAGATTTTGGCTCATGACTAGATAATGCACTATCACTATGGTATGAGTCTTTTCCTATTTTAATCAAAGCTTTTTTGTGATTCCGATCTAGAGATTCAGTCCTCTGTTTTCTAGCTAATTTTGGTTTACCTACAAATGGTGATTTTGAAACAGAGTCTGTGCTCCCTGCATCACTGCTGGCACTGTTGTGTCGGTCTAATGGGGCAAGGGGGTTGGAACGATCCCGACCTGCACTGTCTCTTTTAACCATGCCTTGACTATGGGCAGATCCTGGAGATATTGGTGGCTTGTTCCTTATTAGATTATGTGCTTGTTTTACACTTTTATAATGCTGTTGTCTACTCTGGTTATTCGTTTGATTTGGAGAGTTTTCAATCTCGCGTCTCTGGTTAAAAAATTCTCTTATAGAACCTTTTTTATTCCTGCTATCTGGGCTGCTTCTCACTTTTGTGATTGCACGATTTTGTTGATCATCATATCGCTCAGCAATTTTCTGTTGACGATTGCGAGCATCTTGCTCTTTTCTTCGTGCAACATCATCAGCCATTTTCTTCTGATATTCACTCTTCATGGCAAGTAGCCTTGAAGGCTGGCCAGGAGAACGTCCTTGACCAGCAATAGGTATAAGGGACTGGCTCATCTTATTGGCTGTGCGCCTAAAATCATAAAGATATAAACATGTAATGTTTACAAAATAAGAGTAAAGGAAAAAATGATTTTGTTGCATGCATCTTAGTCAAAGTTTAACCGTACAAAAAATGACAAGTTTGAAGTTGCATTCATATCAATCATTCACTAGGTGCATTCATGCGCCGTGGATCCACGTCTATCATTCACTTGATTTCAATGATTCCAGATTCAGATAAGAACTCAGAAAATAGACCTCGATGTTGTCTTATTACCTCAGTCCTTTTCCAGTGGGTTATCTTCAACTATCACTGTAATCCGAGACAAACCATCTTTAATAAAATAACATCTATGGTGATTTATCGATAGAAATCATGTACAAATTTTAGAATTTTAAAATATTTCAAAAACATTTTTAGATTTGGCAGTCGCCGCATAAGAAAATAATCACACGCAAAAGCTTATCATATATGTTTTGAACAGCGATCAACTGTACTTAAATCTATATTGGGAAGATGTTTATATTGTAATTGATGAATTTAATTACACCAAAGAAAATTTTATTGTGCGAATAAAATAATATTTTGATTACAAATGAAGCGGAGTAATATATCGTTATAGCGATGTAAACAGTCTCGCAATGTCCCGCGTCAAAAAGCGAGATTTCAAAGAAAGATTGCGGACGCAGCAATTTTCGGTCAATTCAGTTGTTATATGGATCATTTACACGGTAAACAAGGTTTTTACTTATCGTGAATATCTTTAATTACCCCTTTTATGAAGCAAGTTGGTATATGTTGAAATGATCAAGCGTAAAGGCTGATTTAAGGAAACTTAATCTATTATCGCCCGGAAAATAACATTTTGGCATTCTCAAAATTCATTTCGTTCGTTGCGTAGGGGAAGTGGTCCTAATTATCGCACGGTCCTAATTATCGCACGATTGTCCTAAATAGCTAAAATATGCACCCACCATCTTTTAAACCAGTGTTACGAAAAACAGTTCAACACCATTACTCCCAATCTTCATGATTTATTCATGGGGGGGGTGTATAGGGGGTCTTGGAAGTCCATATACAATATTTTTCAGCCCTCTTATACCATATACAATATTTTTTCACCATATACAATATTTTTTGCCTCTCTTATACCATATACGATATTTTAGGTGAAATACAATATACGATAATTTTGAAACTGCTGTTGATTAATGTTTGGATATTTATAAGGAAATGATATTAGGAGGGAATCCATGTACTACCAAATATATTATTATGAGGCAAATAGACTGCACAGTGCACATAATTAGACCACAATAATTCCATTTTATACATTATCAACAATATTCATTTTGGACACAACCCCATGGTCAAAAATTCTGTAACTCCATATTATTGTCAAGTAGACAAATTGTACAACTTAATGTACTTCTTTCTTATGACTTATGTCAATTGCATCCTTCATAGTGAGTCAGGGAAATGATTCTTCTTTCCTTGGGAACACAATTGATTCAAAAATGAGAATGTGGAACCATGGGCTTTCAATTAGAAAGTTGAAAGCCCATGGTGGAATGAAAGACTGTATGATTCATCATGACATTGTATTCTTTAAAAAATAAAGTTTATTGCGGCAAAATATGTACAAATAAATCTGTCAGGTAGATAGTGAAAATACAAAATGTACAATAATTTGGCAAAGCAGCCACTAACCTGTAAAAATGTTTTAAATGTTTGAAAATACAAAACAATATTACTGACTCCTTAAATAATTCATTTCCACATAGAAGTTTTGTTTGCCAGTTTCAGTTGTCTATAAAGTGTATTCTTTGTGGACAATGTTGGATCAAGTTATTAATAATTGAAAGTAGCATGACTTCAATGAGGATTGCCAAAAACATACTGGCTTACCTTAACAATAATAAATAATAGTTAGCCTACATATAATATCAATTGATTTCATAATTATGTTCAGGGTGTTTCATGATGAATGTCCTCCCATCCAAAGTCAATCCTAGGTTATATACCTTTACAATCTTTATATCATAAAAAACCTTATACAGTATGGATTTATGGGTCACATACAAATGTATCGTCATGATCGATAAATGGGAACATAATTTGTGAAGTTATGTTTGGAAGTAACTGTTGCATTTAGCAAGGTACAGTGTTGGTGTTTGAGAAAAGGTTGCATTTAGATTATGTATTTAGAAATGGGTACCTTTTTGTAGAGATGTTTAGCAACACTGATCAACTGAATCAGCTTTCACATGCTATATGATAGGTTATAAATTATAACAAGGCATTAACATGACAAAATGTCACCACCTAAAACAATTTGGTCAATTTAAAGCAAGTTGGAAAATACCTTTTGACCTTAAGAAGGTTTGATTTGAACTTCTTAGAACATGTAGATGATTTTAAAAAAAGATTCGTCAATTTGAAGCAAGTTGAAAAAATACCTCTTTGACTTTTTTTGACATTGAGAAGGTCATTGAAGGTCAAATGTCAAATGTAAAGTCAGATTTGAACTTCTGAGAACAGGTATTTATAAAGTTTAAAATCAAGTGAACATGTATGATGTAACTCAGGAATGATGATCATTAATTTACATAATCATTAAGATATGAGGGTACCCTTGTCTGCCTTCTATTTCCTCGAGATACCCCTGTCACCCTTTTTTGCACTAAAGGTTCATCAATTTCATCATTTTCATCATCTGATGGTGTTTGGAATAAATTCTCATATTCCTCAATAGTAAGGTTCAAAACACCCTCTTCATTAAACTTCATGTCTGAAAGAACTTCAACAACTTCCGTCAAATGGATGATGGTGTTTTCAGCTTGATTTTTTTTTTAACATCTTTCATATTTATTGTAAGCACAAGTCATTTAGATACAATTACAAGGGGCAAAGCGCTGTAAGCATTAGATGTCCCCTTTTATAAATAAACAATAAAGTACAATATTCATTTTAACCTGGATGTCACCTGTAAATGGTAGAATGCCTTGCAGTGAAACAAAAGATAGGAGGGCTGCTGATATCCTGGGGGAGGGGTAGTATGTTGAAAAATGGAAACAGGTCATAGGCAGGAAAATATTTAGATTCTGGTTGTGTTTTCAATGAGATAATTCGCAACCAGTGAAAATAGATTATCCATTTCTAATTGGGTTAATGATGGATCCCCAAAAAGAAAAAAGTGAATTTTGTCTTGCTGAGTTCTGAAATTAGTTAATAAGTCCCCATATATCCCTAAAGTATCTGTTATTAGTTTATTTCTTTGTTGTTCTTTCAGAGGGCATTTGAAAAAGAAGTGGGGAAAAGTTTCAGGGGAACCACATAAACAATTTGATGACTCAACTGAGCTCCAATTGTGGGCTTTGAGCTGGGCTTTTAAAATTAAATCTACCCTGGCTCTATTCAGATAAAGTTCTTGTTGACGAGTTAATTTTAAACAAATTGTTGAAACAACACCAGGAAACAAATTTAATTTAAGTGTTCTTTTAAAAGATGCAATTGGTGGCAAGAGCTTTTGTTCCAAGGGAACAGATCCTGGATCATTCCATAGGTTCATCATTTTGTATATTGGAGACTTATGTGGATAGTGAATAGGGATAGTGAAATCTCGAGATTTCCTTAACAATCTTGCTTGAGGGTTTATGAATGCTTGATGAAATGATGTAACATCTCTTTCTGTATTTTCAAGCCATTTGGCCTGAATCAGTCTGTCATCGTCTGTTTAACAGACTGTTACCTCAATCGATACAACACATAGACGGACCTCTCTTTGTGTTTTTACACATAATGTTGTGTTTTTTGTGAATCTAGCTATAAGTTGTGGTGTGTTTAAAACTTTTGACCTTTGAAGATATCATCCATTTCCATATTGACATATTCATGATCCTCCTTTACTGTTGGTGTAGAATAAGCGTACAGCGGAAGTGTACCAACTTTGTCTTTTGTAGTTTGACTTCGTATGGCCAGCTGCCGAACACCTTGAAGGTATGATTTTCTATAGTCTTGCAGGAGTTGTACTTCTCCAGGATCCAGAGGATTATGCTCCTGCTTGGGAATTTGGGGCATTTTATCAAGAGTCATGTGTATATTAGACGCCATTCGCTCGTAGTATTTTTCATTTGTATGATAAATAAATGGCAGATTGCCTGCTCTCATGATTAAATTATCCACGGCGTGTGGGAACAGTCTACTAAAGTCAAGCATTTCTGTTGTGGTGCTAATGGCTATTCATATTAGGCATGTTTAATTGTTTTAGATAAAATATTTAGGTAACTGGTGACATATTAAGACTTCAGATTCCTTTAGATACCATATACCATATACCATATTTTTTTCTTCTCTTATACCATATACGATAAATTTTGGCCCCTCTTATACAATATACAATAAATTTTCACGCTCTTATACAATATACGATATCTCTATACACCCCCCCCATTCATATATTTAGAAATATCTCTTCATTTTTTAAGAATTGTTTACTTCCGCCATTGTCATAAATGCTTTTGCGCAAGAAGTGAAATTCGTCTGACAAATTTTGACCCCCTCCAAATAAAGACAGAAAAGTAGGTGTATAGATCTAATGTATATTTTGTTGATATTTTACACTAAAACTGATAGAAAAATGATTACAGCATATGTATGTTTCTGTTATAAACAGAGAAATGTATACAGTATCGTGAAATGACATCTGAAACATAACTGTGCGATAATTAGGATGACTGTGCGATAATTAGGACCACCGCACATGCGAGTCTAAGGGGTCTTAAATTGTTAGCGTTCGGAGATTGAGAAATGTCAAACACTACTTAGATTTTAGAGGAAAGGTTGATCTTTCGTCTCATATTCTCAAAGTAAGTTGAAGTTATCATATTTGAAATCGTCAGTAGTTTCCCTGAGTACCCGTGCGATGATAGGACGACTTCCCCTGCTTTCACTACCTCTCAAACTCTGATAGAACATAAAATATAACGTTTACAAATGATTTTACCATCGAAATTGGTAATCAATGTTGTAATTGATGTGATTTTAGGTAAAACGATCTCTGCGGACCACCAAATTGTAAAATGTCAAGATCGATAATCACTGGGTTCAACATTATGACCACGGACATCTAATACGTTCTTCGAACGAGATAGATATCAATAACAGGACTGGCAACAAGATCCAAGTATTTTTCAAGACCGCCGACTCTCGTTGGGCTATTTATCCCTATTGACTCAGTCTGAGGCTTTGTAATCGACGTAGATAGAAAATATTGCTTCCTAAATTGTTCTGAAATGCGATTATAATACTAAATGTACTTTGAACAGGTCGACTGACTAAAAAGTCGGCCATTTGGCACAAGTCTCGTTCTCAAACAAAACGTGACAATCTTAAAATTCCCGGGAAGTTTACCCTTCTGAAAAATTCGACCTACTTTTATTCCTCGGTTGCTATGCAGCTCGTTGAGAATTTCTTTCGAGAAGTGACATCATTGCAAAACCCCCCCGCTTTCGTTATCTTCATCGTCTAGTTTACGAATACCACATGTCGATGTGATGTTTTAATTGATAAAACCGAATTCCTTACACATTTCGTTATCTTATTGTGAAATAGCAAACTATGAGATATGTTTTCTCGCTAGGAATTAACATAATATTATTTGAAGCGATTTTAGAAAATTTTGAAACCGCCATTTTGGTAATATTGATGACGTGATCACCATCGGTCAAGGTGAGGTCAAGGGTCATCCATCTTGCCATTTGCCCAGCGGAATCTTACCAGTCGACAAAAAACGATGAAATCACGTTAAAAATAAAATATATACTTTAAAATTGAGGCTGATTGAATATGAAAAGACTTCATTGAATACAGCTGTGCAATTTACAGTCACCAAGATGAGCTAATTTCGGAGAGATTTGGGAATTAAGAAAGGTAACTTCATTTTTTTCATTCAGGTTTCCCAACTTATTGAATTTGGAATCCCAATCTCCTTTCGCCAGAACATTCTCTACGACTGAGATTATGACACGTTTTCAAGATGGCGGTGTCAAAATTTTCTGAAAATGCTTCAAATAATATTATGTTAATTTCTGGCGAGTTCACCAATATCATAACTTAATTTTATCAATTAAAACATCAGATCGACATGTGGTATTCGTTTATTAGACGTTGAAAATTACGAATATGGGGATGACATCACTTCAAAATGAACTGCATAGCAACGGTGTAATAAACATTTTCTGATTGGAAGTCCTTGCAAATTCCTAAGTATTCACTTATTTTTAACAGTTTGTTACGAATTACTTAACATTTTTCTTATAAATGAATACTCACTACATTAGAAATAAACATTTTATAAAATATAACGAATAAAATCAGTAGCAAACGCAAAGAAATATATATTTTTTGAAGGAGGTCAAAATATTTAGAAGGGTAAATTTCGCGGGAATTTAAAGAACTGCATGAGGTAAGGCAAATGAGGTACGGATTGCACTGGACGAAAGGCTCGGAGATTGACATTTTGGTAAAAAATTGCTGGAGTACCTGTTATTTTCTAGTACAAAATAAAGTATGAAGGCATGTGTCAATTTCCTTGCTTTTTTCAGGAAAGTATCATTACATTGTTTTTTTTTAGAATATCTGGTAGGAGTTCAATGCCGGGGAACTCCAAGAAATCCTGATGTTTCACACTTTCTATTTTTTCCAAATTTTCTTTCAAAGTTTCCATGATGACGTCACATGTTAATTTAGAATCAACAGAGATGTGTGACGTTATGGTTATTTGTTTGTTTATACAACTGACGACATCTTTGGTTTATAGTTGCATAGGTCCATAGAACAAAGGGTACTGCCCACTTCATGAGGGGCCTTTGTAAAAAAAGATTGGAATTTTACAAAAAATGATGCAAGCTTCAAATAAAAGCATCTTAAACTTAAAGCTCTTTTCTTCTATCTAATGATTGTATTTTTTATAGGTTATGGGGTTATGGGTTTCCACCCCCCTGGCTATGCCTATGATTATAGTATACTTATGTGGCTATTGATAGAAATATGAAATGTACAAAGTACCCTGAAATGACAATCGAATGGCAACTGTGTGATAATTTGGAAGCTAAGACTCATGCAATAATTCAAGGGACGACCACACATGTGAGTCTAAAGTCAGACTGCACTTTTCCATTTTGATGACTGTGTGCTTTTTTCAGATGAACATAACTAATTCCAAACAAAGCCTAAATCTTTAATTTTTCCCTAAAAGGGAGTTAATTATCCAAACGAACAAAGTTCGGAGGGATATAGGGAACGCCTCCGTCCGTCCGTACATACGTCTGTCCATCCGTCTGTCTGTCCGTCCGTCCGGGCAATAACTCAAATACCGTTGGCCCGATTTTGTTCATATTTTGTACACATATACCCTATGGGGGTAGAAGTTCTGCTTGAAAGCCAATTTTCAAAATGGCCACTCATTTCAAAATGGCGGCTATTTTAGTGCCGATTTTACAGTTATTTAGGTCACTATGTAAAACTGTAATAGCAATATGTTTTAAATGAAAAAAAATTATATAGGACATTAATAAAGCTAGAAATGTAGATATTAAAGAAGCACATGGCAGCCATCTTGAAAAATGGCGGCCTTTACTCATTTTTACGATTTTAACTGACTCGAAAAGTAGTGAAGCGATTTTGTTCATATTTGGTATGTGAATACTATAAGCATGGCACACTGTCTAGTGACACTTTTGGTAGAAGGCTGCCGTTTTGAAAAATGGCCACCATTTTGTCGTATTTTACTATAACTCGAAAAGTAGTGGAGCGATTTTGTTCATATTTGGTATGTGAATACTATAAACATACTGAATACTATACTGAATACTATATACATTTTTGCTATATACTTTGTAAATATGACATGCAGCCATGGCTGTTCGATGGGATTAGCTATGCTTTGGCATTGCTGTTGTCTAGTTTTTCTTTAGAATGTACAGTATTACCACTGAACAAAAACACATCCTCAGATACATTTGTAATGTGAACCATATTTGCGATAAATTATGCCATTTTATTCCTCTGAAATATACAATGATTCTTTTTCTAGGTCTTTAGCACAGATGATGATTAGACAGTTGTCTCCAGGATTGAAGGAGAGGCTACGGTCTGGAATTGCTATCACTAGCCTAACACAATGTGTCGAAGAACTAGTTCTCAATTCCATTGATGCAGGTGAGCATAATACTCGGATATTCTATTGTTGAAGCTTTTAATGGGGGGACTATAATTTTGGTTGCAACTTTTATATTGCAACTTCTCCTTCCTAGATCTTATGTGTATTTTGATTTAAGGGAGAAAAACTCATATATATATGCGGTAAAGACACAAAATGGAGGCAACTCCAATTATCAGAGGCACTTCGTCCTCTGTTTCCTCGAAACATAGGTAAGTTTTTGAAAACTCCTGCTTCACACTCGGTGATCAACCCCTTAAGGTATGTAAAGCTATAAGAATTTCTGTTCAGGCATTGACCAGAGTAAAGAAATAGTCAACGCAGATATGATTTCCCGATCCTATTTCTCTTGACCTATCTTCTTATTCCAATTAAGGAGGTATTTCGCCACTCATGAGCAAATTTAACATTGGCATTCAATAGCCTGATACTTATAGAATGTACAATACAAATTAAGATTGAAACTTTTGTTTATTTTCATCGCAATCTGCTTACAAAATTGAACTAGCCGGAAACGCGGCGCAGTCATCTTCAGCAATTATGGCAACGCGTCGACAGCATAGATTAAATTGTATGGCAACGCGGTGCAGGCATCAACTTCCTCTGTATTGTAAAGTACAAAGAAGTTTTGCATTATGCTTTTCTGTCGAAGATTTTGATTTAATAAGGCATGTGACTTTTTTCAGAAAAAGACCAAGCAATACCAATCTATCCCTATACAGAACGAAGAGACGAAGAATAGGGAGCAATTCTACAATAAACATAAATGTCGAGGGGAATAAACGGAAATTCATATCACCAGATAGGGGGAGGAGGCCAACAACCCCATTTCTCGAGGTCCGCTGGGCACCAAAAAAAAGCGCATCAACGTCCCGTCGGATAATGTAATTATCGTACACGATTGAACATCAGCTGCATTGCTGTCACTGCGTTTCCAGTTTTGTCAAATATGTATGATGTCTGAACCCGCGTTGCCGAAGTGTCTGAACTGCGTTTCCAAAATATACCTGGTTTTCCACCCAGAATCGGTTAACAGAAGGCAAAGAGTGATGAAACTTTGAAGAAATAGAGATTACCGTGGTATATACGTGATTTAATAGATATGTGTCA